ATGTAAGTTGAGAATAAGCAATATAGCTTGAAATACTGAGTTAGAAAAGAAATGAAAAATCAGATGCTAGAGAAAATTATGCCCTCAGTTTAAATGAGGTAACATTAACTATGTTTTATATTTATATATTTTTAAAATTTTGTGTGTATAAGTGTTTTGCCTGCATATGTAAGTAAAGACCTGTGTCATGCAATTTCTGAGGCAGTCAGAAGAAAGCATCAGATTCCCTGGAACAGGAGTTACAGAAGGTTGTCAGCTACCAAGTGAGCGTGGAAAATCAAACCCTGGTCCTCTCCAAGAGCAGTCAGTGTTCTTAAGTGCTGCATTTCTTCAGCCCCCAACAGTAAGTTTCTTAAGAGGTTTCTATCAAGATTTTACTAGACAATAGTTGTTGGGCGGTCTAATACTGTCACCATCATGCATAAAACAGATTAAGCACAAACATATGTGCTTTTTGAGACAGTCTTTTTGAGACAAGGTTTCCTTGTAGCCCCAGCTGGCCTGGGATTCTCTATGTAGACCAGGCTGGCCATGAACTCACAGAGATGTACCTGCCTCTGCCTCCCAAGTGCTGGGATTAAAGGTATGTGTAGCCCCACACCCAGGGGGCATATATTTTTTTAAATGAATAACTTTAAGGGTACATACAGTCTTACTAAATTTATGTTACAAAAAATATTCTTCAAACTGAAACATTTACTAGCTTTCAGGTTTTTACAAAAAAATACATACAATTTCCTTCCATTAAAATTTCTTGGTTTTTTTTTTTTCTTTTTTTTGAGACAGAGTTTCCCTAACTTGCTATGGAGACCAGGCTGGCTTCGTTTGCCTCCCAAATACTGAGATAATAGTTCTTTATCAATTCCTACAATTATGTTTAAAATGACACAGCTTTGCTATTAGAAGAGTTTCATCAGTAGTAATGCTTCTACATTTTTTTTCACGTCAATCAATAATCACTTATTTTTCTATTTTCTCTCTCATGGGATCATAAGGGGGAAAAGAAACCACCACTGAGGGACAAAAGTAGAACTGCTCCAATTAACCAGAATTAAAAATGAACTCAAGTGAGATTCCCTGTTGAAGTCATCTGTTTTCTTCCACTGTGGTCTACACATTCAGCAGAAGTGCAGTTGTTCTCCAGACATAAAGACTGAACATGACAAAATTGCAGTGAAGACACATTTCTAGAATTGTGACATTCCTTTCAGACGAGTTAAAATATCTAGGGCATAGCCTGCCCTCTTCAATTTAGTAAATATAAAAATCCACATCTGGTGGCGCTTGCCTTTAATCCCAGCACTTGGGAGGTAGAGGCAGGCAGAGCTCTGTGAGTTCAAGGCCAGCCTGGTCTACAAAGCAAGTTCCAGGCCAGCCGGGGCTACAGAGGCCTTGTCTCAAAAAGACCAAAAATAAAAAAAATAAAATAAAATAAAATCCACATATCTGGGCACCCTATTTCACTCCACTGAATCAATTTACTGCCCCTTTTCTGTGGGACATGGATAAAAACAACAACAAAACCTTTTTCCATCTCTATTTTCACCTCCTCAGGTTATCCAATCCTAACATCACCACTTATATACTCAACATTCACTGAACCATGAGCTAGAAACTGTATTTTTGCTCTTACATTCAATAGTAAAATACAGATACACAATTACTTGGACAAGAAAACCTGTTAAATCAACAGTGGTACTAGTAGTTGATGTATGTGTAAATAACGCCAGGTGGTAAAGTGTAGACCTCTAAACGTTCTCACTAGGTAGGATTTACATAAACGATCTGTAAACACACACTATCTTGGCTCTCAAGTCCTAGTTCCAATTTCCAAATAAGAAATTACACACAATATAAAAGATATACCAGATTTTTTACCGTTTAAATTTTGAGATTATCCAAAGGCAGTTAACACAGACCTTTCGAGAAACCTATCATCTTAAATCACTAAGTCAAAACAGCAATTTGGTCAAAATACCACGGTCTACCGGTGACCATACATACATATCGTAATGTGTCTGCACTTGCAAAAATAGAGGACTCTAAGCCACAACCAAGCAAGGGCAAAAACGTTAAGGACATTTACAAAAAAAAAAAATCTTGAACCAATATTAAGTTATTTCAAAATGCACTAGCCACGCCTTAGGACTGCGTGCTATTCAGACTAGTTGGAGAGCCCCTTCTGGATCGTTCAAAGGCTTTAGAAATAATAAAGTGGTGAAGAGAATCAAGGTGTTTGGAAAACTAAACTTTGAGGGTTGCGATTTGCAAATGACTGCTGGCTCCGGGCGCAGGAGGCCGGGACTGTCAGTCTGGAAGGCGCCGTGGCCGACCACAGGAACACGCTCATCTGAGGATTCAAACCAGGCGGGCGGGCAGGCAGGTCCTGAGCCGCGAGACCCGCAGGCCGCGCCTCTGTGCCCGCTGGGAGCCCCACACCCCAAACCCCAGGCCTAATCCCGGCTGCGGCCATCACCCGACATTCCGGAGCAGGAGACTGCGTGGGCACTGGGATCGGAAAGAGTTGGGAGGAAACAGGGCCCGACAAAGCAAGGCCAGCAGGGCCCGACCCGCCTCACCCTCTCATGGTGAACTTGACCACAGCGAGTCTGGAGCCCGCGCCGCTCAGCTCCGGCTGGAAATCCGGATCGCTCCCCACCGGCTTCACTCCCACCATCCTCACAGAGAACCCTGCAGGGCGGCGCGACGCTTCCGGCTTCAAAGCCGAAGAAGCAAGCAAGGGGTGGTCGGGGAGACGCTCGGGGGAGCCGAGGCCTGATCCGCAGTGGCGACCGCGACGTCGGCTTCAGAGGTTCTCAGTGCCGAGTCACGCCAGGGAGCCGTGCGGTCGAGGGGGCGGGGACGCGAGGAGGGAGAGGCGAGAAGAGGTGAGGCGGTGGCACCCAGCAGCCACCGCGCGGCGCGGCCTCTGCGCCTGCGCGTCTTGACGTCATTTCCGTGCCGTCCGTTTAGGCACCCACGGTCCAATCCTAAATTGAGAAGTGTGGCCACACCCTCTGCTGAGGCCATTCGCGCTATGGGATTGGCGCAAGCGCAGAGGTGAAGCGATCGCACACGTAGGCGCAAACAGTTCTAAAACTGCGTTCCTAGCTTTCTAGTCCTGAGGTTTTCACCAAGGATTTACATTGGGTGGAACAACAAGAAGGGAGCCACCTTTCCTCTGGGATTCATGGGTCCAACCTAAAGCCACAAAGCGCCCTGATTCTGTCCTGTGTTGGAGCAAGTCACTACGCACAATGTTAGAACATTCCCTTACGGATTTCAATACACAGATGGGCTTTTCAGGAGTCATTCGTAAAGCATTTTGCATCTAAGTTATGCAGATAAATCTGAAGGTTATAGTGGGTTGGTGTACATAAGCAAATCTAAAATGCTCAGTGAATAGTTTTTAAATAATAGTGCTTTAGTCAGCTAGAGATGTCTTAAAGTATCAGAGAACAAGTGGCTTACACAGCAGAAATTTCTTCCAGGCTGGAGACTGGAAATCCAAGAGAGTAGGAATTTGTGGAAACAAATGAGATGGGTGGGGGTGGCTGCAAGAATTAGGTTTCTTGAGATCTCTGATTTTTTCTTTGCATTATATTTTCACATGGACTTGTTTGTGTATGTGCACAACAAAAGTGCTGGTCTTTTGCTTTTCTCACAAAGACACTAGTCCCACTAAGTTGAAATAAGATACCTAATTGAGAACTAGAAAGGACACAAGAAGGGAAAGAACCTCCCTTTCCTTGTTCTGAATCTCTCATTTCTAACACCCAGGTGGTCTTAAAATAACTAACCAGACCAAGGATAAAATAACTATACTCCTCCTTCTGAGAACCTTCACAAATGAGATTGTTATAAATACATGATGAGGGGATGGCGAGATGGCTTAGTGGTTAAGAGCACTTGTTGCTCTTCCAAAGGACCCAGGTTTGGCTCCTGGCAAACACATGGCTCATGACTGTAATTCTAGTTCCAGGGAATCCGATATCCTCTTCTGGCCTCTGTAGGGACCAGGAATGAGTGTGGTGCATATACGTAGATACAGGCAAACACCTATACACATACAAATAAAAATAATGAACTATACCTTAAGGCCAATCTCCTTGTGATACCTGTATTAATAGAGTCGTTGAATAAATGTTTTATCTACTAGTGCCCATTTCCCCAGCTGCAAGCCTGCACAATGTACCCAAACAAAAACCTCTCCTATGGATAAGAAAAGGGAATATGGCAACACATACTTTCCCTGAGGTCTAAACTTAGCTACAGATTAAGTAGCTTCAAAGTCAGCAACTTACATAAACAGCCACTATAGAGACATTGGGGTGCATTCCTGTAATAGTTGCACTGCATTCTTTTCAAATGTATCTTGTCTTTCTATTTGACCAATAAACTCATCAATTCTGGATCACCCTTAAATTATTTTCTGTGGCAGCCTTCAGAAACTCAGGTACACCTGAGTAGAGATCTCTTGAGGCGTTGAGTTGGGGTCCTCAGCCCCTACCACTACCACCAATAAGTTGTAGATTATATTGTCAGTGATAAAATTAGGAGCCTGACTGTGAGCTCATTTAACCTAATGATCTTTAGTAAGCCTCAAGGCTCATTTCCATATACAGCATAACCATATTGGGCGTCAGGGCTTCAACTTATGAATTCTGGTGAGGAGGTGTTCAGTTCAGGACAGATGGATTACTACTATTTCTAACTGTAGTTTCAAGGGCTGGAGATAGAGGTCTGAGTTTGAGCCTATGTGTGAGAGAGAGAGAGAGAGAGAGAGAGAGAGAGAGAGAGACAAAGAGACAGAGATCCTAACTCTTCTTCCAGTTTTGCCTAAGAATAACCAGAAACAGGGTTTATGAAAGTGAACCCTTAGCAATCTACAGATTTCTGAGAAGCATAATGAAAAGAATTATAAAAGTTTGATCTAACAGGCATTTTGAAGTTTGTTTTCATGTTCCTCCAGATATAGTCTCAACTTTTCTCTATCCTGACCTTTGCCCTAGGAAGCTAATCTACATAGAATCATCAGGTTCCCTTGATGGAGCTTACTGAACGGTAGAAAACAGTGAAATCCCATTACTTTCTTGGTTCCTTCTTGCTGTGCTGACACAGGCTGTCTATGTCATACCAGTTTATGGCTCCTGTCATACCATTTCCTTATTTGTGTCTCTTCTTCCCTTGCTGCTTCATCAGCATGACCCATGAGAAATGTTGGAAGCAACACGTGGCCATAGGTTGATGACATCAGTCTGTGGTTTTATATGCTGTTCCAAGTCCGTAGGGTCAAAAAAGAAATCCAAACACTTCAGAATAGATCAGGCTCATTTTTGATGAGTGAGTTTTTCCTTAATGTGTCACTGCCACACTAGATCTAGTCCTTTTTCTTTTTTCTTGATTTTTTTTCTGGTCTTTTTTGAGATATGGTTTACCTGTAGCCTCAGCTGGCCTGGAGCTTGCTATGTAGACCAGGCTGGCCTTGAACTAACAGAGATCCACCTGCCTCTGCTTCCTGAGCACTGGGACTAAAGGCGTGTGTCATCATGCCCAGCTTAGGTCTAGTTCTATTACAGTAAAACTTTTCTACTCACGATTTGGTCCTTAACATCTTTGTCTATTGTTTCTCTTTAGCAATGCTCCAGTGTTTCACCCCCCTAAACTCTATTTACAGGTTTCTCTGTGCATACCTTACTAAATTATACTGTTATCAATTTTGTTTTATTTATTTATTTATATTACTTATTTATTATTTAGTGTGTTGATGGGGACATGGACATGCCACAGCTCATGAGTGAAGGCCAGAGGATAACTAGCAGAAGCCAATTCTTTCCTTCCACCCTGTAAATCCCAGGGATCGAACTCAGGCCATAAAGCTTGGTGACAAGTTCCCCTGCTCACTGAGCCACCTCTCCAGCCCCACTTACTCAGTTTGAATGTGGCATTTTCTTTTCCTCTTGTGATTCTGCATTATAAAAACATTCAAATTGATAAATACTATTTGGAGGCTGGAGAGTAAAGTACCATGTTGCAGATGAACCTATGAGAGCTGCAAGGACAGAGGTCATAGTTGATGCAATGAAAGTTGTTGAGAGAATCAAGAAATAGAAAAGGTTACAACAGAAAGTTAAGGACAGCCCAAAACAGCATAAAATGAGAACAGTTAACAAAGAGATTATAAAGTCAAGATACATTGTAATAAACATAACAAAAAACAAAATCGGTAACAGGATAATTTAGTAAGGCATGCATGGAGAAACCTGTAAACAGAGTTTAGAAGGGTGAAAAGGCCATTATATTGCTAAAAAGATATAAAGTCAAGGACCAAAGACCAAAAAGTTGAAACTCGAGAAACACTTCTGAATGTAGTGATGAGTTATTGTGCAAACAAGCACTGCAGTTCAGTGAATTATAAGTAGAATCAGCTCAGCAGCCATAATGAATTCTTTACTGTTGGAAGCCTCAGAAGTTGAAGATGATCATTACATGTTCCTATCTTTAAGAATACAAACCATTGTGAGTGCTTTTTACAACATCCCAGAGATATGAGCAGAGTGATAGCCGTTATCTCTATTTATTTCACTGATGAAAAGACTGACATTCAGGGGCTGGAGAGATGGCTCAGAGGTTAAGAGCACTGACTGCTCTTGCAGAGGACCCGGGTTTGATTCCCAGCACACCCACATGGCGGCTACGAACTGTCCTTAACTCCAATTCCAGAGGAATCCGAAGCCCTTTTCTGACCTCTGCAGCATTGCATGACATGGGTGCACTCACATACATGCAGGCAATACACTCATACACATAAAATAAAAATAAAATATAAAAAAAGACTGACATTCAGATGCACGTGCAATGAATCCAGAATTATACAATGTGTGGCTGTATAGCCCTTTCTTAGTTACACTCTGTCTTTGGTCTTATATATAAACTAACAGTATACGTACATGGAAACATTTAGTAAGTGATGCTCTTCTAGGGGATATTTTATTTTCTATGTTTTCTAACTGTCTTCAATAATTATAGATAATATATATAACAATGTATTTGCAAAGACCTGCACGTGAATTATAAAAAGATCCAGATAGCTAAAGTAAAAATAATATTCACAGTTAATTAGGCTCCCTGTGTTATTTAAAAAATGCTTAATTTCACCAAGTAAAATAAACTCTTGTGGGTAAAATTTCCCCAAAAGATACTTTTTCTATTAAATTCACAAAAGCCACCTTGAAATACCATTTCTTGTAATTTCCACAAAAATGTTATGAAAAACCTAGTAGAGAAAAAAAAAACAACCCTGTAAGGGCAACTTGAGATTTCATTCTTAAGCAGCTGTAGCACACTCTCACTATTGCTGAGGGCAACATACTCAGATATTGAATACACAGCACACACACCATCCCCTCTCCATCCCTTACTCATCCAGGATGGGCCTTAGATGTCACATTCCCATGGAATATAGGCTCAGCTTCAGAATCCACTCAGCAGCATGCACTACCACTTTAACTGAAACTTATGTTCTATTACAACACATCAATACAATTTGTAGACCCTGAAATTCATGGTTCTTATACACTGTAGTAAATTTATTAAAATGAGTTTTAGGTTTCCACTTTTATACCTAGAGATTCTGACCCAGCAGAACTGGAGAATGGCCTGAGACTCCACAGCTCAACACTTATGATACAAGGACCTCATATTTTCAGAAACAGGATTTGGTGATAACTTGTCTATCATATATGATATACACACTGCACTTAATATAACAACCTATTGTGATAGTACTTTGAAGTATCCATTCCTGTGGGAGATGACAGCACTACAGAAGTTAATGAATTTTAAATGAGTGCCACAGCAAAATGTAGACAATGTACCACACTGGCTCAGAAAAGAGACAATTTCTTGCTGGAATT